TCCCTTGTCATGAATTGGATTCCAGCAGCTGTCCAGCCTGTAGTCCAGACACTACACTGACCAAGCTACCTGACTTCCAGAATGAAAGTAAAATGTAATCCATACTGACTTATGCCCATCTTACTTAGGAATAAAGATATATCAACATAATTTTTAAATAGTAGGTACATATCTTGAAGAGGAAATACTGTGGTATTTATTTTATTTCTTAAATGGACCCAAATTATATCTCACTGTTTTTAATATTAATTTATGTGTGTATGCATTCAAATATTTAACAACTAATATTCACAGAACCAAATAAAAAATAACCATAAAGTCATATTTATATGATTTCATAAGTAAAGAACAATAATAAAATAACATCAACATTCAGTACATTAATTTTCACAGTCATCACATGATAAAGTATACAAAATGTCTTCACTGTAGGCATTACATAAAAATCTAGTATAAGTAATGACATTTTTAACAAATTTTGGTAGTACTCTGAGGTTCAGATAGTTGCTATTTTGTTAAAGGTTGAAGCATAATGAGGGAACAAACTGAGGACTCCAGAACAAGAAGCCACACCTTATCAAGTGTGTTGTGTCTTAACACATGATCCAACTGGCCATGTTTTGCACTAACATACAGCAAAATTGTTAAACCCAGATTTAAAGTAAAGAAAATACGGTATTATAAAAAAATTGCACTATTCAGAAAATAACGTTTTTGTATCAAAATTTATAATTACTGATCACAGGGGAAGCAAAGTCTTGGATTAGTTTAACACTGGGATCTTTGGTTAAAATCTTGCTTGGGACATGGATATATATATATATCCACATTTTTCTGTGTTATTCCTTGTAGGCAGAAGGTCTGGCAATGGGCCAGTCACTCATTAGTGAGTCCCATCAAATGTTAAAAGGATTCATTGTTTCAGTGTAATTGTGAATCAAAGAGACCATAGGGCCTCAGGTCTCACATAGGACATCAGAACACAGTGCAGTGTTTAGCACCTTCCAAAAAATAAGTAAGAACTGGCAAAGAAATACACATATTACTATGTGCAGAATAAAAAGAATATAAAAATGTATACTGTAAATAAATGCTGTTTTAACCTCTGACAGCAGCCATTCCCACTAATACTTTCCATGCTACCAAGCACTGTTATCTTTAGATAGAGCAGAAGCTGCAGGTATTTTTCTCGAGGGGCTCTGAAAGTAATGATAAACCAGTGTCAAGTCCTGGCCAGCAATTAAACTGAGTGCACTGCAGATGATTGACAACCATGCTTTACTGGCAAGTACAATTTTAACTTCTGAGATCCTTAAGAAAAACTTACCATGATCATCAGTCATGTACTGTGGATTGTCTTATAATCTTCTGTGAATTGTTCTATATCATTTCTACAATTGAAAATTGAACAAATCATTTTAGTGACGGATGTTTTCCAATTACCAAAATAATACTGAAAATAAACCACAATATGAAGATGTACTACAACCCATCCATTAACAGCTTAATTGATTTATGTAGTTACCATTTATATTTTAACCCTTCATCATTCCTAAAGACAGTACCAAGCAATGCAACTAGCATCCTTTTGTTGACCCAAGGCAGCTGAACCTCAAAATAGTACCAAAATTTATCATGAAACTTTCACTTCCTTCCAGTACAGAAAATAGTAATAAATTCTTGGGCTAATGCTAATGACTTCAAAATATATCATCCAGCAGGAACAGAAACAGATTCTCTTACAGAGTTGGCTTCCTGCACTAGAAATGTACTCTGCCCATTCAGTTATAGCTTCATTAATTCCTGTAAAGAAAAACCAAAGTGAAAATTAACACATAAATTGCCACTGTAAAGTACCCCTGCAAGCAGAGGCTGACAATTCTTTCTCCAGGCTGAACATTTTCCAAACATGCAACTGTAATTTTTTGTTGCATGAATAACTATTTTAATGTTCCAAGAAAGAAAATCCAGAGTACAAGCCAATAATTGTTCAACAACTCTCTCCCTACTTCCATCCACAATAAAGACTTCTCAGACTTCCCTGTTACTGCATCCACTTCTTAGTTCGCACATGACAATATTTGTCTGGTCTAAGTTTATGAACAGGAAAGTCCATGTGGGATTTGTGGTGGACAAAATGGAACTAAAAGAGGTCTTTCCTCAGTCATTTGGTTTCCCTGTCAATGTCATTCCATCACTGCTCCATAGTCACTCAAGTATAATCTAGAGCCTGAACAATGGGCTTGTTGGCAGCCAGTTCCACTCAGTCTCTCCCATTCTCAACAATAATGTGTTTAAACAAAAATATAAAATACATTTTGTGACCATCTCAGCTCTTCCTTTACTTTAACTTCTGTGCTTATATGACCAGGAACAAAATCAAAACAGAAATTATAGAATGTAAAGACAAAACTCCTTGGAAGACTGACCTTTGCTTTGAACTGCATTTGCTTTCATCAGGGAATGCTTCACGAGGAGGAATGAGGCTTAGCATCATCACATGGCGCGTATAAGCTCTTGTATTACGGAACAAAGTGTCAGTTCCATGAATGCGGTCCAGTACACCCAGAACACCAAAGCATTGGTTAAACCTGTTGAAAACAAAAGAAATTACATAACAACAAAACCAGGAAGTTAATATTAATTCACATTTTTATAATTTGGATACTTAACATTAGCTTTAACAAGTGATTATTTTTACAGAAAGATACGTCAGTACTCCGTTGTGACAGTTATGAAGGTCATACTTTCAAAATTTTGTCCACAAAATATAATAAAAAACCTCTAGTTGAATTAAACATTTTACCTTTAATTCATCTTATATATTTTAGGCACAGCCTTATTTTATGAAAAAGGAGTCTATAAACCATTCTAATAAATACTGCTTAAAGAAAACCCCCAGTTTTAATGCTTTCCAGACTATGAACAAAATATTTTCTTAGAAACACCAGATAGTGTCATGGATCTTAAAGATGTCAGTCTACATGTCTGCCAGTGTTCACTTGACTGTCATAATTCAGACGTCAATGTCATCCCTATATACACAAACATATATATAAAAGAAGAAAGAACTCCCTGGTAGTAGAATGCAAAGGCAAATACAAAAGTGTTATATTCTATACCTTAATCTTCAATTTTTGTTAAGTAGTGAGATGTATATTATTTTACCTTCTAATTATGCTACAACAAGACTTGTTTTTCTGCAGAATTTGTACATACAACAGACTGACGTTACAGGACTGTACGATAAATGCTGTCATGGCAATCCATTGTTAATGCTGATCCAGCTTTCAGGTGACGGCACCACAAGAGAGTGGTCTGTGTTTCCAATGTTTCAGATGGAGCATACAGCTACCATCATCAGGGCAGTATATTCCTCTGAAATGTCAGTAATACAGTCTACTTCCACAAGGCACCACTCAAAAGCAGCATCAACATTAGTGAATGCTACATTACAAGACCAAGTACATGTGCTCAAAAGTATACTAGAAAAAATATGTCACACATACAACTTACTTCAGATGGTGAAAGTCATGAGCTTCAGGTGATGGGAAAAATGGAAGATGATAGCCTGAATGGGCATTGAGAGTAGACAGGATTGCCAATGAGAACCAGAGCCACGCAGTGGCTACATGTGATCCCATGATGAACACTCCAAGGAATATAGGAAGCAGATTTGAGAATATACTTTCCAGTGGATGACAATACATTGCTGTCACTGCAATTGGAGCTGTCCATTCATGGTGCCTCTTGTGAATGAAGCGATACAGGTAACGGCTATGAAGAACTCTAAAACAAATAAAACTAGTAAAAAAATGATAAGATATATAAAGTGATAGAAATATCACTCAACTGACAACAGATACAGTGCTCTCATTGTTAAATTATTTTAAATTTACTAAAATTTCCCATAAAATCATAACAAATACATTCTCATGAGTTTGAAAAGGGTGGGGGGGGAGAGAAGAAGAAGAAGACTTTTGCAGCTCAAATCCATTCTGTATCTATTCTTGAAAATTATGAAATACAGGATACTGCATTTTCAATTTAATTGGAAATGAACAGTCTGGAAGTCTGTTAGCTGTAGCTGGATGCCTGATATAATGTTCAACAGTCAATGTGCATTGTTCTTATAAACAAGACTGGAAAGGAGCAATTCTTACCAGAGTATGCATAATTTCTGCATGTATTCTTTACACCCTGACATTTTGGATGCTGCTACCTACTCCATTTTGGCTTGATAAAGGCATTAACAATATTAAGTATAACTTAAATTTCATTAATACAAATCTATATTTATTCACCATTTGGCCTTGGAATTTGTCAATGCATAGAAATCTAATTCATGCAATTGCTGATGAACAGAAATATTACATAACCAATAATATTAGATACCATTTATACACATAATATATTTACTTACAAAAAGAGTTCCAGTTTTCAAAACATATTTAAAACAATGTGGCATTCATTTCAGTGCAATGAATAAAAGGTTGTGAGATTTATTCATGAACTTTTATCTACTTATGTTCTCATTCACAAAAGAACATTGGAGCACATTCCAACCCAATTTACATACTTTACATTATTACTCATTGGTAAATGCCAATGTTTCTCTGAAACGCTGGGATCTACATACAAGTCACAAACCAGAACATATTCAAGCATTTCCAACATACACTATTCTCATAATTTCATGCCATGACTATAAAGATGATTTTAGTTTTAGGTCATGTTCATATACCTGACCTGTAGAAAATTTGTGTTATGTTTTATGGTATTTACTAGTTGAAAAGACCATTTCTAATTTAACAAAAGATGATATCTTTGGTACCACATCCCTTACACCCTTTTTCTTTCTTTCCTTCGCCCCTTTTGAGAACTTTCAGGTCCCTATGACAGCAACCATTCAATTATTATCCTTCTCGATTATCTCGATCTGTCCCAACACAGCCACCATACCTGTGAGAGTAATAGAAGCCAATCTCTTCCATAAGTATGTGTACAGCCATCTCGACAAGAACCCAGTGGAAAGTAGGTAGTTCCCGTAAAGGGGGAGAGCCCCTCCACTTCATCAATACATAACTCAGGTATGCTATTGGCATACCAACAACAATCTGGTTAAACAGCACCCATCCTATCACCTGGAACATGCAGTCTCAATGAAACCTTTGTGACAATATATGAACAGGTGAATAACAAAAACCTACCTGCAGTTCTATGAAGAATTGTGATAAATGCTGGTGTTTTATGAGGAATCTATGTGGAATGTTGGTTGTAGTACTGTGAGGGAGTCCATGGAACACTGATGTTCAAAACATTCAACAAAACCAAGGTTTTGCATGGAATTTCCAAGAACCCTGTTATTCTGCAGAACCATGTAATATCCTGGTATTCTGTGAGAAATTTCATGGAACCCTTGGGGTACAGGCAGATTCTATGGAACCTGAATTTTGCAGAGTTCATGATGGTCAGAAGTCTGTAGATTATACAGTAATGAATGAAATAGTAAGATAATCATGATTGGCAAGTATATTAGGATTAGGCATGGAACATTTGAAGGTATTGTCCCATTTTTCACCAGAAGACTCAAGACAGTCACCCTTCAGACCAAAAATTGATCCAAGGACTTCCTGAATACATAGATGGAGAGCCGGCTTGTCATTTTTGACAATTGGTTAATTGGGTTTGAGTATGGTAATCATGATACAAAATGCTGTATTGCTGACAATCTGACTGCATGTATATATGTACATATATTGCAACCCCAAGTGTGAACATACACCTCTGGATATATCATACCCAGACAAGAATTACACTCTCAAATTTCACAGAAGTTTTAAAATAGTACTTGCCTGCAACAAGCGTTTTGTGTCAACTGGTTCATTGGTTCCAGGTTGAACCTTGTACCTGCGCAGGACAGCAGGTTTATTTGTGACGTCCAGTATTGTGTAAATACCACCAAATATCCAGTACACAGCGACCGTAAGTACAGTTGTTCCTGACCAAAGGAAACCTCAGACTTTAATGAATGAATTATTTTCAGAATCATCCCTCTGCAGTTACAATTTTAAAATTTATACCATCTGAAATTAATATGAACTATACTGATAATGAATTTAGTTTTAACTTGGTCTCTTGCTGTGACATTAAAACACATACTAAGAGTGTCACAGAAAAAAGTACTGATGGACCTGAGAGAGATGTAAAAAAAGAAGAAGATTATGTAGGAGATTCAGGGTTTGTACCCTTGACCTTATACTCTTCTTACTTGTGAACTCCTGTCAAGGTCAAGCATGAGATAAAAATTTTATTTCCTTCACTATCTTCCATGTTTTTCATCTGTCCCTTTTGTCTACCATCAAATAATTTATATGTGATTTTTGGTTATAAACCCCAACAATATAAAGCATTTTTTAGAGTTTTCCATGTTCTAGCATAAGTGCAGGCCCAGCCATATCTATCTGTCTGAGGCCAATGTTGGAACACACTGTTGCAACAATTGGAACCAAAGCCACAATGAAAAACGCTGTTGCAACAGTGAGAACCAAGGTCATCATTGGCTCACAACAATTAACTCAGATCATGTTATTGCAACAGGGACCTTGGATATCACTGCTGCATCTGTTATTCCTTTTGAGTGACATAAGACCACAGTGCCTTTCAGCTGTAGTTATCAATAAGGCACCCTGCTGATGCCATACCCGTGATATGACATGAAGAACACCTCTGGAATTTCAGTGAACACCAAACAGTACACCCTTTCAATCTTGTGTAGGTTCGGTGGCAACAGTACTGAAATGGATTTTGGACAAACATGTTACGAATGGCTTGAATTAATTGGTTAAGGACAAGATCAAAACAACACTTTGTGGATACAATGATGAATCATCAGAATCCATAACACAGAATCTCTTGACCAGCTGAGCAAATTACTGCTCAAGGTAGACCTTGTACCATACACCTGCCTGTAACTGAATACAGACTATTAGTATTGGTTTTAATAAAACAATTACATTACACTGTGAAGGGAGTTTTCAGCTTTTGTGGCTCTCATACTAGATAGCAGGTAATGACTTTTGTGACAGCAAGATCTGAAAACTTGTAGTTCATCCATTTCTTCACATATGCCAGCAGCTGATGGCTATACATAAAGATGACAGGCATAAAGAGAGCGGGGCGAATGAGTAAGGAAAAATGTGAGTGAAAGAGTATATATGTGGATACTTGCCTATGCATGTGTGTGTATGTGTGTACAGAATGTTCCATAACATAATATACATACTTAAGTGGCATGTTGTTCAAATAACCCAAGTCAGCCCATTTTTAAACAGCACTTGTTAATTCTGTGTGCTTTCATGATCTTTCCCATCTGAGAGAGCAGCACTGTTCATGATGCACCATAAGAGTTCATGTCATGTCTGTGATTTCCTTCATGTATCCCCACCCACAAAGGTAGAAATCAAGGGGTGTCAAATTCTGGCAAGTGGGGAGACCAGACAAGTGGGCCTCCATGACCAATCCAATAATTTCCATAGCACTGTTTCAAGTATTGCATGACTTCTAGACTGAAATCAGGTGGAGAACTGTCATGTTGCATCCACATTTTAATCTGGCTTGGAGAGAAACATACTAGAACAGTATGCTGCTTAATTATATATATTGTCACAATGTACACTAAACATGAACAGAAAGTTATTCTTATGTAGCTGATTCATTTCTTAAACTAAAATAATTTAATTTAAACTGTGCACTTCACTGAGAGTACTCCCTTTCCATCCATCATAACTATGTTAACATTTGCAATTTCAACCCATTTTGATGCAACATTTTACACTCAAAATAAGCTAATATATAACAACTGGAAGTTCAGCATATGTTTTGTGGGACACCTGCATATTAGCAAGTTGAACAGACACAAACGAAATAGAAAGTTAAAAGAGATGAAAGCTGCTCCATCTTTCTCAGCATCATGGTTTCTGCAAGAGGAGGTTTCTCTGGATAAGAGATAAGTACTGATAACCTGAACACGGACCATCAGACTGCAAGTTGCATCAATTTAAATATACATACTGCAACAACATGTACTGCTGCTAAGTGGCCAGCTGGTACAAGATATATCAAATATTATAATTTAATATTAGCATCCATATCAGCTGACCCTTGTAACACATTCATACTTAGGCAGTTTCGTGCCTGCCTGCTTATATGAGACAGACGATCTTCAAACAATGCATTACACCATTCCACAGAATAATCCTTACCATACACCCAGAAGGTAAATGGATCTTCTCCTGTTACATCAAGTAGTCTATCCCACAGAGCCTGCCAGAAATCACCAGAAGCACCCCAGAATCTTTGCAAATGCCTAGGAAAAATAGGAAAATGTAACTTTGTAATAAAATACATGATAACATCCCCATTGTATATGCATTCCTTCAAAGCTGTTAAGCAAGAGGTGATAGGTAAGAGCACGAGAGAAGATCAGTTGACCATCTGCTAATCTAAATACAGGCTTTTGTGAACATGGTAATGAACCTTTTAATTCTATAAAATGCAGGGAATTTATTGACCAGTTGAGCAACTAGCTTCTCAGGAAGAACTTGTTCCCTTGCTTGTCAAATGCATACAGTAAGAACATCCATAGTGAGAAACAATTGCATAACAATAGCTGATATAAAGCACAACAATGAGAAGCCATGACATGAGATGAATTAGAAATAAATGGAGGCCATGGAGGATAGACACCATTAGTGTTGTGGTATAATAAAAAAGCAAGTCTATTTCAGCCAGAAGATAGCACATTTTTACTTACCATGTAAGTGTGTTTCTGAAAGCAGCAAAACCAATGAGGGCCGAGCTTATTACAAATAGGACACTCCAAAGAGACGACAATAATGATGGCTGCTGTGCCCCACTAGTACTGTGGGTTTTCTTATCATGCACTGTAGTGGCTGACTGAAAGTCTGCCATGTCAAGGTCTGTCAAATATGAAAGAAAACAAGGTTACAAATACCTGCATATCAACATACAGTAAACTAATCTTGCAATGTTTGATGGTTGGAATGAATTATTAAATTTAAGAACAGTAATTTTTTCTGATATGTTTTTCAAATTTGACAGTGCCAACACACACACATGGATAAATATGTACTTACTGATGGTAACATTATGTACCAATAAACATTAAAGTTACATATACATCTGAACCTAATCACAGGTCAAGCACCATAAACTTCAACAGCAGGGCAACTTGGCACACTTGTGAAAGCATACGTTAGTGAAAATAAATCCTGATTGATGATCATAGCTTTAGCTTTCATCATGGGACAATAAGTGCCGTGCAACAAAAGCACACATGCTAATCTGTCTGAATTTTACTACAACAGGGTCTTCACTTCTGAACCTCCATTTGAAAACGGTTTTAAAATATAACCAACAATTATGTGCAAGTTACAGCTTTACCAGTAGGGTGAAATGAGACTGAAATTTCGAGGCTATTGTGCACAATACCGAAAAAAAACTAATCGAAACAAACCAACTAATTATAAAGATCAGCAGAAAAACCTGGGGGAATGGAAAACGCTTACAAAGGAAATTACACATTTATTATATTTCATTGGTCCCTTAATCAGTTAATGACAACAAGATGTGGAATGAATCATAATAATGCATATATACAACTACAATTCAAACTATTATAAGGATTTCACATACAATATGCAAAGGGTTACATAAAGTGGTGAAATGTTACACACACTTTGTGATTTAGATTGTAGACTAGCAACAAGCAGAAGCAAATACACTGCCCTGGCCGTGGTGATTGAGTCGCTCCTAATACAGTGATCCTCTCACTAGAGGCCCTGAACGTTCAGTAATAAAACCACTATTTATACACCGATGATGAACAAATTTTCAGGTGCATACCTCAGACTCCATTTATTGTTGCAACAGAAGTGGTCTGGGTACTTAAAAAAACTTAAGTAAAGTTTGGAAGACAGAAGAAACAACAGATTTATTCCCCAGAAAGCTAAATTGTTGTTCAAAGATCTGGAAGAAACATAAAATATACCGCTAATCGCTACACTGTGGCGTTCAACAGGAATACCACCAATGAAATAAACTTCATGCAGATTTACTGCAAAATGCAGCAAATTCGTTTCTATGTCAATGATGTCTGTACAGATGGGCAGCCACGCGGAGCTCACTAACTGGTATTCGAAGTATGAAGCCTGTTCCTTCGGAATCCTCAGAGACAGCGGAAAAAGCGTTCTTTGAAAGCTGGCATTCCTAGACGATCTTGGTGTTTACTTATAACACATACATTTCACCGTCGAGTTTTCGGCATTTCCGCTCTGTATTCGGAAGACCTTGCGTTGAAATACATATATGAGGTCCGACGGCCGGATATTCAGGTAGATAATTTGTGATTCTTACGCCCCTCCACGGCCGCTTCCCTAGCATGTTATCTTGCTGATCATTCATAAATACTCTTCTCACTAGATGCGATTTTCCCCCGGCAGGCGAAACAGCGTTGTTGTATGAATGTACGAATAGTTTCCCTATTTATTTAAATATTTACGGAAACCGTGGCAGAAATTTAAACGGAAACCACCAATTTAGACCAACATATTGGTGACAAATGAATTACAAGTTTATCAGACATTTCATTGATACAGTCTTAGAGGGGTTTGGACTTCTAATTTTAAAATTACACAAAACATTAAGAGTTCTTAAATTATACTTTTTCGCCTAAATTTGCCTTCTTTCTGCAACATTGTAATGAAAATACATGCTGAAACCTTCTTGGCGTATAGTAACATGTCTACTGTCAGTATGTGAAAAATTATACCAACTCCTACTAAAAAAGATTCATTCGCAACAATCTACTCAAAATAATATTCATATCAACATTAAGGTCATTATAGCCTTTCAACAACGAGAATTGTTTTTACACACTGCTGTTTGGGAATCATGTGGACTTCGCTAAACACACAAAAAGCAACAATTGTGAAGTTTTGTAATCTTTTCCTTTATCTCTACACAAGCATATGTACACTTATGTAGGTTCAACAAACGTCTATCTAGTCATTCTACAGTTGACATATGAGACCGTGCTAGAAACACATTGCCAAAAACAGTGGTCGTTTATAACGTGAAAATACCAATAAAATAATGCCAGGTAATAAAAATGACCACTGAATGTTTCAGTCACCAGAAACAAATATAAACTAATTTCATGCATGCAGGAAACCATAATTTTCAAAGCCAGGGAGGGTACCCAAACATATTTCAGATAAAAAAAATTGGATCGTAATGAGATCCACATTTTTATCACGTGTTACTTGAAGTTTTTATGCAATAGGCTTCTTTAAAATTTTTAAAATGTTATTTGACCTTCGAGTAAAGTACGAGGTGCGATCGGAAAGTTTCAAGACTGTGTCAATAGCGGGCGAACCGGATGTAGTACGAGCTTCTGCCTTTAGGGGTACGGCCTACATTCATAGTGAATCAGTGTGCCAGCCGACATCATCGAATTAGCATTTGTTTCTTAGTTACGGGCGTTTTGGTAGTGCATTACACCGACCCTCCTGCAATTTCGGAATGGAGTGTGCATCAAATTTTGCCAAAGACTCGCCAAAACGGCTACGGAAACCTATGAAATGCTAAAGCAAGCATTTGGGGAGTCCGCAATGGGTCGTGCACAAACTTTTGTGGGGCATTCACGTTTTAAAAATGGCCGAACCTCTGTCGATGATGACAAGCGTTCTGGACGACCATCTTCGAGCACAACGCCCGAAAACGTTACGAAGATTCGGCAGGCCATTCAAGAAGATCGACGTCGTACCATCAACGACTTGTGCGACATTGTTGGGACCTGTCAGCTGATTCTAAAGGAAGAACTCCACATGCGACGCATCAAGACAACGCGCCAGCGCACACCGCCCTCAAAGTTCGGCAGTTTTTGGCCTCAAACACAATGGCCGTCATCCCGCCCCCTCCTTATTCGCCGTGTGACTTCTTCCTCTTCCAAAAGATGAAAATTCAGCTAAAGGGAAGGAGATTTGAGACGATAGAAGAGATTCAGGCAGAATCGCAGATGGTGCTTGACAGGCTGACAAAGAAAGATTTCCAGGGATGCTTCCAGGCTTGGCAGCGGCGCTGGGATCGTTGTGTTCACTCCCAGGGGAACTACTTCGAGGGTGATGGATGAATTTAATACCTGAGATAAGTGTACGGATTTTTATAGGCGCAGTCTAGAAACTTTCCGATCGCACCTCGTATGATACAAAATTCAATTCAATCGACATCGTTAACGTACAAAATACCAAATTTACATTCGTCAAACAGTTTCGAGAGGATAGACACAATCACCGTAGTATGCTTTCATTTTATGCAATGTTAGCAAAGAAAATAACGCGAAATTGTGAATTCGAAACCAAAATGTTCCTGGACGACGTTTTGTCTATTCCCAGAAATCACCAAGACCATGCAATCACAAAAACAAATCACGCTGTATTATAAGAATGTTTCGGCAGTTCACAAGCCACAAATAACAATATAAACCAACTCCATAGTTCATAATCTGTCAATATTTATAGTTATTTAGATGGTCAGGGAAATGTTTATGGAACCTAATGGTTTTCACTGCATTCATAAAAACTCATCATTGAACCTGTTACAGCAGTTCAGTTTTGTTAAAACCTAATGCTCTGAAAATTAACGTTAATATTATCCTAAGCGGTCTCTTCTCTTGAAGTTTTCAGACCAGAATTTTACTGCTGATGATTCATTTTACCGCCTACATATTCAAGGCCATTACCCAAAGACACGATTGAAATTATTAGCATTGGACTGTAACAAGAGTCTAAAGTCAAATTGTTTTATGTATTTCTTATTTATCCCATGGGTGTTTACAACTTTTCTTATTTAAATACCCTAAGAGTAACAGGTGCCGAGTACACAAAAAGAAATCAAGTGTGTAAGTAATGACGCAGTATTAATTTATTTACGGCATGATTCTGGCTAATCTCCAGTCACAGAGAACGAAACGTAAATCCACAAATAAATTCAAACTGAAAACACCACAGAACAAAAGAAAGGTTGGTGCCTGAAACTGTTTGTCCTTGAGATTTTTACAACCTCCTTTGTTTTGACACGGGATACTATAAGCATGGTTTAAATATACTCACTTTTATCAGCTTTTCCTGTTTTCTTGTTACGACTTCTGTTATGAGACCTCTTCATTTTCGTATAAAATAATCAGTCTCAACATAAAACAAAACTGCGATCAGCTGTGTGAGAACACGCGAACGGTCTAACTAGCTGTGGTCTACTGTCAAGCAAAGTACATCAGCACTGACATGCACTCCGTATGTAAATTCAGTGACCCCTCTTAAGGGCAAACCGCAATTTGCAACATTAACACAACAAAGTTTTAATGTCAATACTAAAAACTCTGGATTTCTCACATGACGAATATGTTGTCCGCCACAATATAACGACTATTCATCACGGATTTTAATAAGACAATGCAATTTACCACACTAGCAGTTGCAACCTAAGACTTCAGCCATCTATCGTTGCCAGACGACACTCCTACATGGAAGATTCAGGAGTGCACAGAGGGTCGAATTGGGTTAACTTGTTTTCATCTGACTGAAACATCTTATGACGTAAAGGACGACTGTTTGGCTTGATTAAAGCACAGGCGGAAGTAAACCATACAGGCATTATGCCATGGAATGGCTTTATTTCTGCGTTATTCGCACAATGAATACACAATGCAGATGTCGCTTGCTTTTTTGTCCGCATGACAACTGCGAAACCGTTAAAGGAATTTCAATTTCCGGTAAGTGTGTAGGATGCCTACACCAAAGTCTGTCAGATAAAAATAATTTCATCTCGTACTGGTAAAAAAAATCGTGACACTGGATCAGAAATTTTACCAATTGTATTAAAACGTTTCGTCTTCCCAAATATTGGTCCATTATGTAATATGTACGTTCTGCAGCAGGGTATCGGCCCTAACACCGGATGTCCTGGCTAAGGTTTTTCGTGGTTTTCCTAACTTTTCGCGAATTAGGCAACGACCGCTTCCTTCCACATCCTTTCCAACACATTACTCACTACCATTCTCTCATTCAACGCTACATAGTCTGAGCTAATAAAAACGTCATTAAATAAACTACAAAAACATATACAGCGAGGGTTCTCAACCCGCGGTCTGTGGACCGCATGAAGCCAGCAGATGTGTTTGGTGCGTCCCGCGATTAACTACCGTCACTCTATGATAAATTGTAACCTAAAATAAGAAACTTAATGGCAGTAACTAACAGACCAAAAGTTGCAAGCAAAATGTGGGCACATGTTTATAATTTTGAAACATTTAGAACGCGGTAGCCATGTGCATGTTTCGCTTTTACATGCAGCCATTTAATATTTACTCGCAGTTGAAACTCCTGAATTGTATTCGGGAGCCCCCAGATTCGACTTTCGACCCGGAGACCAGCTATCCCAAGGTGTTTTCTACCTTATCTGTTTTAGACTTTATTAACACAACAATTTTCACATCGTTTTGTAAAATTCAAATGGTTTGAACAACGAAACAATGTACCTCTGCGCAATAACGCGATTTTAACGTTATAGGCCTACATACAATTTTTGTTTTATTAAAATACTTTTTTTTACAGTTGTCTGCTCTTACTTTTAGATAATACGTATATTTATAAATATTAATATTCTCCTTAGCAGCAGAACATTTCTGTCTTTCTCGCACTAGTTAATTCCTAACTCATGTGACGGACGACAGAGAAATGTTCCGAGAGGCACACGTGTCCCGTAGGTTGTCTACCCCTGGTCTAACGCACTGCGTCCTTGCTTTGTTGTAACACATCATCTATGGGCACGAAATACGAAATAAAAACGAATTAATCTTCCACTGCGATTGCATAAGCGTTAAAATAGCTCGTGTGATTTGGAACACACCCGCATTTGTAACAGTATTGCCACTGCGTAAGGAAGGGAACTTTAGAAAATAATTTATCAGCAATATAAGCATGCAAGCTACACCAGAGCCACTACAGGGGACATTTCAAGTTCAAGGTCTACTGAGCGCCATCGCATCGGTGGGGAAAATCATAACTACCTACTTACGATAATTCTAGACCTAATCGTTAGATAAATTGCTCGTTTCTCTATTTTACGACAAAACACACAAATAAAAATTTCATTGAAACAGAGTTCGACTTCATGAAATTAAATAAAAGAAAAACAGAGGCACATACGTAGCGATTTGATATGTGTTTGAAACTTAGAATTTATTAAAATTGGAACATTGCGGGCAGTACATAATGGACAACTATGAAAATGAGTCAGGGGATGTAAAACATCGGAGATGGTCGCGCCAACAGCAGACTTTCAATCCGTATTACAGCGGAGTTCGTTAAAAAAAATAACACGTACGTCGCTTCACTGCAAATGTTATATAGTACTGGAAAATATAAGACAATTGCCATTAATGCCCAAGTTAAGTAATGGATTCGGTATCGGCTAATACTTCGGCTTTCGCCTGGAGATTTCATAAAAATGTAGAAAGCCATGACAGAGACAGACGGAAACCCAGACGAGATTCAAACCGGCTATCATATGAAGACAAGCCTAAACCGTTACCACTACATGAACATGTCCGCCATTTGTTATTTCTTAATTAAACATACAGCGTAGTCTTTCAGAGGGCAATAACTGTAACTTTAAACTTGTCAGCAAGGTTACGTAGTTAAAAGTCTACTGAAGATTTCAACATATCACTTTCCTAGAAGATGCCGTTGTTATCTTGCTATCTGTTTCGTTGCTTTTTCCCGATCTTATCTTTGTCTCATGTCTGCAACATGTTTATTTTCAAATAAAGTATTTGCTCAAAACAGATCAAGTACGCATTCCGATACATCATTGCCAGTTTTCATGCCATATTAATCCTTACGTCCATGTACTGCAAGCGAAAACCTAGTGTTACAAAGCTAATCACATTTACAATCAGACTGCAGAGTTATAAATTATTTTTATCTATATTACGTTAAATATTAAAATAAATTTGTGGATCAAATTGCACTCTGTAAAGCTTCATAATTGAGATTTAGCAAACATTATTAGGATTATCAAATCAAAGAGGATGAGACTGGTATGTAGCACGCATGTGAGATAAGAAATTTTTAAATTTTGGTTGGGAAGCTACTGAATCCCATCTCGAGTCATCACAACTCGATGTCTGTAATTTCCATTTTAATATTATACAAAGTTAACCTTCAGAATACGATACCTAAAAAAGCTGTTTATCCGAATCCGTGGCAGTCTAGTTTAACAACAATTATGTACAAATGATATATTTCAAGTACTCACAATCTAATCTTGAAGAATGACCTTGGCGAATTCGACTGTAGCGGAATTTGAACTTTTACGTCGGGTCAGACTTTCTTGTCACAACATAAAAATGGTGCCTTATTTACAATTGTTACAACAGAATCCTTGCGGGGTTTGGAGCAACAACGTCATAACAACACTTTTCACCGTATTCTCAAGTTGTTTCTGATTCTACAATCTACGTATGTGCCCTGTGGTAAATTCACGAGAATTTCAGTTTAGGATCCGATTCAAAACTGTGTTAGTGGTCCTCAGATTGTATCGCTCGACCAGTCCTTTCCTTGAACAAATCATTATTCGTTTTCCCACTTGCTTTTCCTTATGAAAACAAAATTAGGTTAACTACTACACAAAGACGAAAGCTTACACCCTGCTTACCATAAAAGTAGTCGCGAATCACAGTTTGGCAACCATTGCACTAAGGTAAGTTACTGAAAACACATACCAAAACAATGCTACAATGTCAAACTCCATTTAGACGTCATGCACTGGTTCATTTATGGATGCTTCAAACGAGAAGCATGCGCACTGCAAAATGCCAGGTATTCACAACAGTTGGCTTTTATTGATTTCAGATATCTGTGGTAATAACCAGCATAAAGAAACAAACCACGTCATGACATGGCATATGTAATATTTGCAAGCTGATATGTATTAATAATTCTGAAAAAAAACACTAACTCACACTATATTTCGGCACATAAAAATCTTGCAACAGCTTATCAATTTTGAATTTTCCTATAATTTGGGCTTGCATTTAAGTAGAATCTTACCTGAAAGAAGATTTTCAGAGATTTGTAAAGATAATGACGTCCAATATTAAAATCTGCACACAGAAAATTCACATTATCGACAAATGAGGAAAATTTGACAAGATACTTGGTTTAGGTACCATTAGACACTAACAGGTATCCCTCTCTAGTGGGTAAACTGAGACTTATTCGACAAATGAACGCAAAATTGTTTTGCGCATATTCAGTAATTTACCACCAGAACCGAATTGAGTCATTCTACCCACGAACTATTATTATTAAAAATTTAATTTCTTAATAATAATCCGTGGCGTAACAGCCCTCTGAGAGCCAAAGCCGACTAGCTGGCTGCTGGCCACACGTTCACATGCCTAAGCAGAGGTGAACGATCATCCAACCAGATATAGGATGACGTGTGGTCAGGACGACGAACCCCCAGCCATTGCTAGTTTCCGTGACCGGATTACGCTACCCATTGTAGCTCTCCAATTTCCTCACGATGCTGGGTTGGCACCGGTCGAAAGCTCATGAGAAAATTTCTTCTCCCCCGAGACTCGAACCAGCGCGCATTCTGTATCACCTGTCCGAAGCATGATGCCTCAGCCATTTAAAAATGCAATTAGGAATTTTAATTATGGTATTCAAGGTTTAAGACTGACGTGATATGTTCCTCTGCCACAGTGTCACAACCCAGAAGATTACAATTTACATTTTACAGCCTGAAAACTTAAAATCTCTATGCAGTTCGAGATTTATGATTAACTGCATGGACACTATATACGAGTAGTAGTTTGGAGTTATTGGCAGCATCGTCAAATAACTAAATAAACACTACTGAATGTTACAAAATGATTCTCATAAGTTATAAAGGCTGTTGTTTGGTACAAGTTCACATTACAATACATAACCATCCTTTGATTTACGAACGTAACTCGTTCCATACAAACAGTTCGGAAAAAATCGAAAATGAAATTCCTATTAATTTCAATGTAAACAATTCTGATCTGCTCCCAACAGAACCTTATCTATGCAAACAGTAAGCATAGGAAAGAAGAAGGAAATCTTTTGTAATGACCATTTAAAAGACATGGAAATAAATTGTGTGGATGGACACCAGCTTAGGACCACATTGTCGTTAATTGGCTTTAGTTGTTAACAGTGTTGTTACCAATACGGACCAAACTGATAACTTTTTATGTAGGACTCCCCATACCAAATTTAATCTAAACCCATTTTAACTAATTCCAAAGGTCAGATATGTGGGTAGGTGAATATAACCTGCCCCTATGTGCATGCATTTTTGTTTATTTGCACAAAAAAGGCATATACCTATCACCAGCCATATTTCACTTGCACATCAACTTTTTAGTTGCTTAACAAGAATTTGCGTGGACGTAGCTAATGTGAAACAGTAATCGGGCTGCTGATTGCGGGTATCTATTCACTTGGAAGGTTATCATTTTCGACTTTGACCCAACAAAATAAGCATGTATTTTGAATCTCATAGTTTTCTGCGTTTGCTTCATAAGCAATTAATTACATGTCTGTAGCGAAAGAGATAAAATACACGGGTTATTGACAGCGGGTATCCAGTCAGTCAAGAGGTTATCTATTTTTGGTCTGCTCCAAGAAAAGAAACATCTCCTGATATTTTTTGTGTGGTGTATATTTTCTTCATTTTCCAATAAATGACTTCAAAAAGAAAGTAAAATTTAATAAAATTCAGAACAACGTTCTTGCCATTAAAGGACGCCCTGGCATAATAATTATTTATGTAATCTTTATTTCCTCCTGCTTCTCTGGCGGAAGAAACGTGTAATGAATACAGGATACACAGAATTCGGGGAAAAAAATATTGGGTAAGAACTTACGTGGCTTAACGTTCTTTCTGAAGCCTCTGCCCACATGATAAGGCTAGCAGAAACTATAAAATTATAAGTTTACATTACGCAGGATTCAAAGTTCTCACGGTGGCGAGTACGAAGATGGTGATGAGCAACATCGCCCTGATGACAGAGGCAGCAATGACAGCTGAAACGTTGGTATACTTCTACCAGACTACAACCCAGAAGACAGCAATCTAAGTTTACATTGGGTCTATCTATTTTTATAAGTAATATCCATTAGTACTAATTCAGACTACATTAAATTTTACATACATAACTTCAAAGGTACACACAAGCGACACTTGTAGTCATTAACATATAAAACTACAGCCCATACGGAATTTCTACATTCTACATTCATGATATATTTCCATACAAGATGCCACATGCACAGCTCCGATGTCCCATTAATAATATACCTACCATGAATCCATAAACTAAAAAACATTTCATGCAGTTGACATGTTGGTGTTTTATGTACCACAAGAAAATTTTCATAAAAGTTGCACTTTTTTAAAGATCTTTCTCACACACAGAATTTCAGAACCCTACAGTAAGTAAAGTTTGTGTCGACTGACCCCATAAGTTCGGACTGCCTCCATACTGGTATTATTAATGGCATGAAACTAAAAAGGACAGGTGCGGTAGCTTATAGTGTTAACTCTGGTCAGAATGTTTAATGGGACAAGATTATTGATGAAAATGTATACAATGGATCTTGGAGAAACAGGTTTAAGGGCGTCAACTGGACTGAACTGGTTCAGGTTAGGACCCAAGGATGAGCCTTTGTGAAATGGTGATAAACTTTTCTGTTCTATAAAGACAGATTTCTTGACGCTATACTACCTAATTAAATACAACTCTCACCAATGAAAGTATTTCCAATTTTGGAAGGTAAAACAAAATTTATTTATGTAAGATTTGAGGTTTTCACGGCGGTGAGTATGAAGATTTCTGTCTTCTGGGTTGTTGC